TATGTTCTTTAATTTGGCCTTTAGAAATTTTTCTAGTGCAAAAAATTAGATTATGATCACTGAGACCCATTGTGATAGTTCCTGCTTGAACAAACTTATCATCGTTGTTTACTAAAATATGATCTATTAGTGAAGAGCCCATTTCAGAGATTCTGGTTGGACTTGTAATCAATTGATTAAGACCAAACAAATTTAGAACGTGCTTATATCCTTCATATAATAAATTTTTCTTATTTTGCATACAAATATTAAAATCACCAAGAATAATATTATCTAAATCAGATCTTAAGCACTCTAGGCACTCCTCAAAATGTTCAAGAAACTGTTGATCCTGGGGCGGTCTATAAATTGTGCCCACTATAAATGGTTTTGTTTTTGGTAAGTAGATCTCTGCCCAGACTGATTCTATATCGTTTGAATTAATCTGTTGTTGAGAGAACGCAAACTTATTGTTGATGAACATGCACACACCTCCGCCATTCCTATCTTTACGGATTACAGAGTAGCCCTCAATATGGATTTCTGAGTCGTTAACTGAAGAGTCTAGCCATGTTTCGCATATTCCAATTACTGCTGCTCTCGTTTTTTGTGCTATGATTCGGATTTCAGACATCTTTGGAAGTAATGATCTTGTATTTAAATGTAGAAAGTGCATACCTCTACGCTTAAAGCATTGGAACTTTTAATCCTGCATATCATTTATGTTGTTTGCTGAATTGTTCATAATTGGTGTATTGCTTAAGTGATCGTATTCGAATGGAGAGAACGTTGGAGTTGTGAAAATTTGATTTCCCTCTTCCTTCAGCTTCATGGTACCCGTACATGTATCACAATCATAAAAATATTGTTTTTTATCAGAAATGTTTAATCTTAGGCGTATTTCTGTTCTTAAACATTTAACGTGAGTCTTCTGATGACAAATGATACACTCAGCAGCTTTGCTGCTAGCTATAACTCCTCTAGAGCACACAGGGCACGGATGTTTTGGTGTGCGTGTTCTAGGGCCTGGATTTATGTGGACATCCCCACTTCTTAAGAGTGTAAGACAAGCTAAACATATTAATGATGGTTTAAATACAATTGGGAATTTTGATACAGAGTGTTTGGTTAGATAGTCTTTCCCAAATTTCCTCTGACCATTTTTGTTGTTAGTCAATGGTTTGCATAAAATTGATGATACAAGTTCATGGTCTGAGATGTCTGACAAGTTGTCCTCGAGGATGAAAGGAATCTGGTCTATCTGATTTAAACTCCTTGTACAAGTTAGAATTCAATAAAAAAACATAAAAAAATAGTACTGACAAAAAGTCCGTGCTGTCCTGCCATCCCGATCCCTGGTATCGTTGTTTTGCCGAGGAGTTACGATTGCAGGTGTTGTATATAAACCATTCAGTTATTTAATCAAAGTACTCAGGAGTACAGAGAGCCGGGCTTATTTATAGAGCAGTGACCCCTACCGTTTTACATGAAACGTACATGAAACAAGTAATAGCTTTTCAGAAAGCTTGCCTGTCTAATCAAGCATTATCTATGGAACGTATAAGCAAGTGAGGTGCTAAACGTTTCCGTCATCAAGGAGCGACATAGTTGCGATACTTCATTACACAAGATGTACAATTGACTTTCTCAAATGTCATAACCAAATACTACAGATTAACGAATATCTAAGACATGCCACTATTTGGTCATTTATTAGTTAGCCCTATCTTCGCAAGCCAAGGGTTTCTGATCCGCTACTCTCCTCACAAACCCTTGGTATACGGTGCAGTCAAAAGTTGGGATTGTTTACGACACGTGATCTCGAATCTTCCAACATACGCAGAAATTGCGTCATCGACAAAAATAAAAGGCGTAATTGAAAGTTTAAGTTTTTAAGGAATAATTGACAAGAAGATATCGAGCAATGTTTATTTGTTATTTATCGTGTAAATCTACATCTACAGTAAGATTCCTGATCACAATATTTGTACATCAGCTTAAGATTGGATGACACCATATCTATTTATAGAGTGACATGTTATCTTACGAATCGTTGTTTACTTGTGTTTTTCATTCCCGAGACTAAAAAATCAAGAGATATCCCGAAGGCAAATATCATCATTTACAAAAGCAATTGATGATTTGTCGAACGATGTCTATCAACTCCAATCACAACTCGAGAAAAAATACCCAACTTTTGATAGCACCGTATGCCAAGGGTTCGTGAGGAGAGTAGAAGATCAAAAACTCTTGGCTAGCGAAGATGAGTTCGCCCTGGGCTGACTAGTTACGTTGGAATGAAACTGCAAGTGCGCTAGCGTAGATTATGATTTTGGGGATAATAATTAGATGATTCGTTTTAAAGAAATTCATATTTAAATGTACTCTCTTAGCAGAGGGCGCGCTTCTTCTTGCACACTCTCGTCAGTGATAGAATGATGAGACGGCCTCTATTTATAGACTGGTCTCTTTTCCGTCGTTCTCGACGACGAAGTAAATTATGAACACTTTGAACTGGGAAAGTTGTCTTGGAGTGTCTGAAACAAAAATGCTTCAATGCTGCTCTAGATTTCAAAAGTAAATGGCCTGTACACATTATAGCTAGAGCAAAACAAGATACTAATAACACCCCCCCCCCTCCGGACAAAACTCACGCGATGATGGTCTTACCTTATACATGTATTATAAATGAGTTTAAAATACATCTTTATGTACAGTTTTAAAATTGTTAAGTTTTTCTTTTCAATGGATTTCAGGACCTTTCTCATAATTTAAAATAATGTGCTTTTTTATGAAATGAAAACCAGTACAGATCATGATGTCTTCTTCATTTTGCCTATTCTTTACTTAGAACCTTCCGGGAGTGAAGCCCATTCCTCTACGGGTACTGACCTACACTCTTGTCACTGTATTAAAAGGAAACCCTTGTTCATCACAAAGCATGAAATAATATGCTACTGGCTGACATTCTAAGCTTTTTTGAAAACCTAACCTTGTCTTTTCCTCTTTCTGCAAAAATAAAAGGGTTCCTACACCTGAACCCCCTTCCCTGGATCCGCTAATGGAGATTGCGATACCTGCATGCTTAAGCCTCTTTTAATTCAGTTGTTAATTTTAAAGGCTACATTACAATTGTGATAGATACCTAGATCAACATTTCATATGATTTTTTGTATCATTACAGCCTAATTAAGCAGACTTAAATAACAATGAAAATTACAAGATACATGTAAAAAAAAATTAATTTAATTACACCTTTGTAAAATCACTAAATCTAGAATTTTCTATGAATTTTGTTTAGAAACACATGCATATGGTCCACGTATTGCAGTCCTTTTTTAAAGGACAGCAACTTGTTATCGACTTAGGTCAGTCGCGGCCGAGATTCGAACTCACTACCTCCCGATCACGGAGCGAGCGCGCTACCGACTGAGCTACCGTGAACGGTATCCACGAAAAATTGAACCAAACAAAATTACATGTAATTTTATAAAGTACTTTGTGTCCATATACTAGAAATTCAGGTAGTAAAAACCCAATTTATGACTTATGTAAAAGTTACACATTTATGTAAAGAAAACGTAATAAACATGCAATTGCCCCCCCCCCCCCCCAAAAGAAATACGAATAATTTAAAAATAAATAAATAAATAAAAATAGACCAATTTACTTTGAAAACGTAATAAACATGCAATTGCCCCCCCCCCAAAAGAAATACGAATAATTTAAAAATAAATAAATAAATAAAAATAGACCAATTTACTTTAAGTTCCATCAACTCTAAAATGAATTATTTATTTTGAGATTGTTAATTAAACGGTATGCTTGTTATGAAACTGTGTGCCTTCTTTACAAGATACACTGTAATGTTGGAGCAAAACGAAAGAAGGAAAACCTCCCTTGTCTTACCAAAGTTGGAAATCCATTCTTCGCCGGAATACGGGTATGAAACTAAGATGATGTACCTTACGTTTTAACGAGGCTGAGTCTAATTATTTCTACCCTAGATATTTTGATAAATTTTTCTGAATTAATTTTGACAATTTCATTTATTGTTTTAAGATTAATTAATCGAATGTTTACCGTCCCAATTTCTTAGGGGGCCATCTCTAAAGATGTCAAATTTTACTATTGGACTCAATGGAAATTTGCTGAAAAAGCGCCACATTATCACATTTTTTTTGTTTTTCTGCCCTACAGGTTTCTTTTTCAGTCAAGTACATAAAAGTTATTGTAAATAGACACCAAATTGTGAAATTTCATAAAAGTCGGCCGTCTAGAAAATTCTATGAATTATTAAAAAGTTTAGTTTTTTAATGCCCAATAATACCTCTCAAAATGCCATATTGCGATATAATATATATATCAGTGCAGATTAATTCTCGGCGCAGATGAATTATTTTGGTAAAAAAAACAATGTTTAGATTCCAAGTATGTTTCTTTTGATGCTCTGTCAATACACAAGCGAGTCATAATGTCATTCTTCAGTGTCATGTGTTGCTTACAAAATCGGAAAAAAGTGCTCTGTCAATACACAAGCGAGTCATAATGTCATTCTTCGGTGTCATGTGTTGCTTACAAAATCGGAAAAAAAGTGCTCTGTCAATACACAAGCGAGTCATAATGTCATTCTTGAGCGTCATGTATTGCTTACAAAATCGGAAAAAAGCGACGTTGTTACAGCCATTTTTCCTAATTGTAGTCGTAAAAGCACATTTTCAGACCCATACACGTTACAGATAATGTTAATTGTGTATTAAAATCACAATACTTAGGAAAGGTGTAATGTCGCACATACGACTGCATGATATTGCAAAGCCGCGTAAAGTCATGCGCACTCGAATTAGACTCGGCCTCGTTACATTTCAACGCTTCTAAGAGCTACGGCACCATTTAAAAAGGAATTATTTTCTATGTTTTTGTTAATATATTTATATGTTCTTTTCATACATTTCTATATTCAGGTCATAAATTCTAGCATAGAACTTGAAAGAAAAGGGTCGGTGAACATTGAACTAGAAATGACAATACCATTTGCTTCAGAATCCCTTTTTATAAATGGCGTTCTACAACCTCTTAGCGACTTAAGCATACACTTGGCTTTTGGAACAAGTGGTCCTTCTACCTATAGTGGTGGCGTTGCATCTAGCCACTGCGAAGTCAAAGTTAAAAGCTTTAATTTTACTGAGAAGCACAAGTATGAAAACGGAGAGTGGAGACAAAATATATCGTTCTCAGTTTATACCCAAGACACAGATTGTTACAACGTTAATAGTCACGAAACCCTGCGGTTGATGACTGGTGGAACAAATGGGGTTGGCAGTAAAATGTTTGAGCAGGTTTCCTTGCCAGATATTCGGGTACGTCGTTTAATATCAGGAAACAATTTTTTTTAATGTTCTGCAAACGACAGAAGAAACAAGTTTTCAGTTTTATTAAGAAGTATTCATCATATACTGTTTATGCACTTTAAATGTTTATAATATCGATACAGATAGGGTTTACCATGAACCAACTTTTATTTGCGTCAACTTTTATTCCCGATTCATGAGGTTGAAATCCATCCCAGAAGATTAGTTTTCGAAACTGAAAAATTACTTTTCATAATTTCACAACTAATTAAATCGTTCGTGGCGAGAAAAATATACACGGTAGAGTAAAAGAACGTCCCAAGATCCCGGCTATATTTTTTTCACCGGATAAAAGCTTATTATTAGTATTATATCGTTCCCCTAAGTTTCCTTCCGCTGAATGAATGTGTTTGTCGTCTCTTATATCCGAGACTTTAAAGCCTATACATTACGTTTAATACCCAAACTATTTGTAACCTCAGTACAATCAAATATGTCACAATGAATTTGAATTGTATTTGAAATAAATTCATTGTCAAACTTAAGAATAACTGGACATCCTGTAAATATTTAGCTCTACTAACCGTACATCAGAAAGGTATGAATGTCAGAGGGTCCGTCATTTCACTGTTCCTCACAAAAGTGCTTTTTCTCTTTCAGTTTGTATGATTTCAATAAAATTGAGCGAGTTAAGCACACCAGGAAACTTACTGAAACCAATATATCCTTTTCTAATTTCTATGAACAACGTCGTCATGATTTGCTGAAAAATAATTTGATTCAAATAAAATAATGGTACCGGAGGTACAACACCTGATGTAAAATGCGCAGATCTGTATATGTTTTTTTCCTTTTAACAAACGATGTTGCCATGGATACTGAATATTGAAAAATCTTTAATTTGCTTTAAAAATATGTAGTGTTAACATTTCTTTTTTAATAAAGTTCTTTACACATTCTGACAAAACGAAAAAAAAGGTTATCCTCTGAATGGAGTATTAATTTCTACAAAAGGTATTGCCATGGTAACTTAAGATAGATTTTTTTTTTATATACTAGTATCACTACGACACCGCCCCCACCCTCAGGTTCCACCAAGCATGTAATTATATAATTATTTAACAAATTTTCTTTAGGATAGCGTTGTGATTATTACTGGAAAAAGTATACGCTATCTTAATGTTTCATAAGCTTATGCTTCCACCTGTCTGAGTTTCATAAGGGACATCTTGTGATTTTTTTCAAGAAATATTAACAGCAGTGTCTCAAATGACAAGAATTTCGAGTATGCTGATAGTATCTTATTGATTTTGCTATAGATACATGTACGAGAAACAAACCAGCAATGGAAAGGACGATCATCTGCAGTAAGAGCAGACCCGCACATGTATACATTTGATGGAAAGTGAGGATTAAATTTTGAAACCTGAAGTTATTACATTAATGCTATAAGAAAAAAAGATCCCTATGCTGTAACGACAGTACATTTTTCACTGGGGATCCTTTAAAAATTAGTGGTAAAAATACAATTGTAACAATCATACCTGGAACGTTTTATGAATTTGTTGTCTTTCTTTTGACACAGATCATATGAATGTCAGACCTCAGGAGAGTTCATAAACTATAGGAATCAACAGCACTTACAATGGGTAAGCATGATAAAGTGTAAATATGCATTCAATAAAAATTGTCTAGTTATTTTAAAGTGTCGGTTAAGTTGCATTTATCTTAAGATCAAACTATGTACAATACTACAACATGCATACAAAATACATACAAATGTTCAAATAAAATATCAGGAAATTCGCCTCCCTGTCCCCAAGAATGATACAAACCTACCTCTCTGCTGCTTTATTCTTTAATCCCTGATATTCATACCTTTAGATTCAGTCAAAGCATCACCTATGTTGGCCGTCTTTCAACGGTGCTTGGTGCGTCTGTGCAGTTGCTGCAAGAGCCGGAAGAGATGTCTTCCTTGTGGATCTCTGTGAGGAAAATGGCGTTATAAACTTTGAGATGTGTGAGGACAATATTTTAAAAGTGACAAAAATTCATGACAAACACTATAAGGTACTCTTTATACTTTAGAATATAATGTTAAAGTCAAAATGCATTTTCAAGTCTGAAGGGCGATCGTTTCACTCGGGAAAGGGTGAAAGCAAATTTTGCCTAGTTTATTTTCAATCTCTGTAGGACAGGATATTTAATTCTAAGGTAGGCAGGAACTCATTTTTGTCCGTAGAAAAATCTGACATGCAAAAAAAGTCAAAACTTGTTTTGAAAACTCTATTTTGTAGGACTGGGGGAGGGGGGTGTGCCACCAGTGCTACAGGGTTCTAAGTTAAGTTAAATTACCATAAGTAAATTATAGCCAGTGGCAAAAGCATTTACTATACAATGTAGCAACATTTAAGATTCACTATCATGCAATTTTCAGAAATTATTCAATAATGGTAAATTAAAGCTCGAATCTAGTGTACGAAGAAGTAAGCAGTAAAACTCGGTTAAAGCGAAGTTCTGGAGACCTGAGAATTTACTTCGCTATATCCGTAATTCGTTATCTTAGTAAAACGAATTTTTCAAATTATACATAGCGACTTCGTGATCGATATAGATTTTTTCCTTCAAGTATGACTACCAAATGAATATATGGAAGCATAAAATACAACAATTTAGCATGGACTTTAACAATATTCGGATGAATAGTATTCTAAATGCATATACTTTGTCACAACCGACCTCAACTGACAAGTTGTGATAGGTTCTTTAAATTCGTATTTACAAACCAAAACAAATAATATTTTGAATGACTTCTTTTTACCAAGAAATAGGAAGATTCATAAAAATTAACAATGGTCTACATATGTACATTAAACGTTGATTACATTACAAGCACACACCCAAGATCACTAAGCATGGGTATAAACTTCTACATCACGGCGTCCAGACCTCATCTGACGAATACCAGCCAACACCCAGTATATTTCAAATATATTTCAAATAACTGGCCAAACTAATCATACGGGTTCGACGAGTATCCGTATGTAGTATATAGTAACATAGACGTAACATACAACTCGGTGACCAATAGAGCGTATATGAAATAAACGATAACTCTTAATGCCAAAATAAAGACAACCCTTAAAACTTATATTAAACATTGATACAATGTCACTTGTGACAATACCTCCCTTCTTAAGACACAAAATGTAATTTTGTGAAAAAAAGGAAAACTATGTACAAAACAAAGTCTTTATGAACATGAACATGCTCAGGACCAACACGACTGAGAAAATCAGCTCCAATATTATCTACATATTTAATAACTTCAGTTCTAAAGTTGAACTCTTGTAGAAAAAAGAGACCATCATCAACTGCTGTTAGAAGCTTTAGTCTTTTGTAAATGCACAAGGGTCTATGATCTGTCTCCACAACAAACGCTACAGCACACAAATAAGCCTGAAATTTTTGTATAGCCCATACGACTGCAAGACACTCTTTTTCCACAACCGAATAATGGTGTTCTCTGTCTAGCAGCTTTCGGCTTGCATATGGAACAGGAAATGTGCGTCCGTAGTGTTTCTGCATTAATACTGCACCAATTCCATGATAAGATGCATTTGTTCTTAGGATGGATGGCTTCGTCAAATCTGGTAATCTGAGAATTGGGCTTTATAGCAACAAGGATTTTAAACTCCTAAGTGAATTATCATGTTTTGGTTTCCATTCTAATTTGTTTAGAACATCTTTCTGGGTTAAGTCAGTCAAAGGAGCAGCAATTGTGGAAAAGTTTGGAACAAATTTTCTATAATAGCCAATCAATCCAAGCAAAGATCTAACCTGCTTCTTTGTTTCTGGCCTTGGCCTTTCTTAGATAGCTCTCCACTTCTTGTTGGTTGGCTGTAGGGTTCCTCCTCTAATAACATGACCCAGGTACTCAAGTCTCGTCTGCACGCTCAGCACTATCTCATATTTTGAGGGTTTTCCTGTTTTTGCGCTTTTCGTAGTCTCTCCAGCACTTTTCTAGGTTCTGTAATATGTTCTTCAAAAGTTTCTGTATGAATAAGAATATCATCAATTAAACTATCAGTATGGTCTACTAAACCTTTTAGAATTTTCTGCATGAACCTCTTGAAAGTAGCTGAGATCCATTTGACATGAAGACTTGAAATTTTTACCCTGATCATATATTTGCACTCGTTAATGTTGGTAAAGAAGGGGAGACATGTGGGTTTTTTTTTGGTAAAAAAAAAAATAATAATACCCACTAGTTTCATATGGTTTTCTAATAAATTATTCAACACATTTCTTGGTTTAAAATACTAGATTTTACAAACACCGTTTAATTGTAGATGAATTAGAGCGTAAATATATAAATTTTCCCTATACTGTTCACAGTTTTACAAAGAATATTGTTCTTTAAAACTAACAACAAAAAATATTGCAAAGTATAAAAACTTACTGAGCTGTCGTATTTTACATTATAAAAACATACTGCCATCACCCTAGCTCTTGCTCTCAACGCCGCTATACACACCACACAGGTAAATGAATTCTAAGATCACTCAGCAGGGAAACAGAACACACCCAAGTTCACTAAGCATGGATTACATTCCAAGCACACACCCAAGATCACTAAGCATGGGTATAAACTTCTACAACACGGCGTCCAGACTTCATCTGACGAATACCAGCCAACATCCAGTATAAATAACTAGCCAAAGACGAGTATCCTTAGATAAATATAGTAACATAGACTAGCGTATAACTCAGTGACCAATAGCGCGTAAATAAAATAAACGATAACTCCTAATGCCAAAATAAAGACAGCATTTACGAATATAAGCAATAACCTTATATTTAACATTGACACAATGTCACTTGTGACATACTTACAAAATCAATGTCAGTTCAATATTAAATAAAATATGTTCGCTATATAAGATGTACATTTCGTTATATTTGACTTCTAGGAGGACACAGAAACAGTTCGTTATAACCGTAAATTTGCTATATCCGCGTTCGTTATATCCGTAATATTTTACAAGGAAATATTAAGAATTTCGCCGGGAATTGCAAAAAACTTCGCTTTATCCGTAAATTCATTATATCCGTGTTCGTACTAAACGAGTCTTATTATAACTGCATGCAGTCAGTAGTTTTTTTTTTTGTAACTCTACTGAGCCAAAGGCTCAAAGACCTAATGCTATGGCCATTTGTGCGGTAAACTTTTTGGAAAATGGGCCATATCTCAAGAACCCCTTTGTAATTTTTTTTTCAAATTTGTCAGAGTATCCTTGGCAAAAGGGCTTTAATTTATACTAAAACTAGGGATATGTCCCTTCAACAAGGGGAGATAATTAGGGAAATAAAAACAAAAGTAGTAGTTTCTAAAAATCTTCTTAAGAACCACTGGTCAGATTATCACCAAACTTACATTCAAGGAAGAGAATATGTTCTATATTAAAAATGTTCAAGGCATCACCCTGGGGCAAAGGGCACTTCAAACTTGACCAAAATTTACATTTTGTTTAATCTTTGATATTTTGCCGACTATAAGGCCAACGATCATCAAATCTTGTCAGCTGATGAATCTTCGGTCCTCATATCATGTTGACTCAAAAGTAGGTCATGGTGACCTACTTTTTGAATTTTGTAGGTATTAATTTTCATTTTGATGCATAATTTGACACTTTGAAGCCTATGATCATCAAAACTTGTCAGTTTATGGCTTTATGCTTCATGGGACCCTGAAGTGTGTCAACCAACAAGTAAATCACCTTGACCTACTTTCTGAATTTTATGGCTTATCATTTTCTAAACATTTAAGGTCATTATTTCATATGCTAAGAGGTTAAGAATCATCAAAACTTGTAAGCTGATGCACCTAGGAGCATTACATGTAAAACAGTTTGATCAAAAAGTAGGTCACAGTGACCTACTTTTTGATTTTTTTTAGGTATTCATTTTCAAATTGTTTACGAGACATAATTTGGATACTTTTTAGCATAGGATCATCAAACTTTATGAGATGATTCATCTTGAGTCCTCGGAGTGTGTCAACCAAAAAGTAGGTCACCCTGGCCTACTTTTGCAATTTCATGGCTTAATTTAAATATTTCAGATACGAATTGGCTTAGAATCATCAAACTTTATCATTTGATGCATCTTGAGTCCTCGCAGAGTATCGACCAAAAAGTAGGTCACCATGACCTACTTTTGCAATTTCATGGCTTAATTTAAATATTTCAGATACTAATTGGCTTGGAATTATCAAACTTTGTCAATTGATGCATCTTAGGTAACCGGAATTTGCAACCAAAAAGTAGGTCATTGTGACTTACCTTTGGAATTTGATGGCTTTTTCATTTAATAATTGGCTTAGAATCATCAAATTTTGTCAGTTGATGCACGTTAAGTCCCTAAAGTGTGTCAACCAAAAAGTGGGTCACCCTGACCTACTTTTGGAATTTGATGGCTTTTTCAGTTACTAATTGGCTTAGAATCATCAAATTTCGTCAGTTGATGCATCATGAGTCTTGAGAGTGTATCAACCAAAAAGTAGGTCACTGTGACCTACTTTTGCAACTTCATGGCTTTATTTGAATATTTAAGAAACAAATTGTCTTGGAATTTTCAAACTTTGTCAGTTGACGCATTTTGGATACCCGGAGTGTGTCATCCAAAAGGTAGGTGACTCTGACCTACTTTTGGAATTTTATGGCTATTTTTCAGATAGTAATTGGCTTAGAATCATCTAACTATGTCAGTTGATGCATCTTGAGTCCTCAAAGTGTGTCAACCAAACAGTAGGTCACCGTGACCTACTTTGGAATTTGATTGCTATTTCCGATACTAATTGGCTTAGAAAGTCAAATTTTGTCAGTTGATTCATTTTGAGTCCTCAGATTGTATCAACTAAAAAGTAGGTCACTGTGACCTACTTTTGCAACTTCATGGCTAAATTTAAATATTTCAGATACTAACTTGCTTGGAATTATCGTACTTTGTTAGTTGTTGCCATACTGTCCTACTTCTGGAATTTCAAGGCTTTATCCCTATATATAGATCACTAAGGGCTTAAAACAAATGAGATTCTAGGTTGTACAATTTTCAGAAAAGCGATTCTAGTCCCTTGGGCCTCTTGTTTTGTTTGTTTGTTTGTTTTTGTTTTTTGTTTTTTTTTGGTTTTGTTTTGTTTTGTTTTCTGAGCCCATAAAATTAAGAATTTCAGTTAGGCTAAATTTCAAGAAAATCCCTATCATATTACTTGTATTACTTTGACAAACAATTCAAAAATATTTCAAGGATGATTTATCTTATAACTTACAATAAGAACAATAGTGGTATGGATTATCTAATGCAGAAGAAATCCAAAATGGCTGACCAACAAAATATTTCTACCCGAGTTTATTGAAAAACATGAAATGAACAAACTGATTGTGGTCCCAAATTTAATAAGATTTTATTTTGGAAAACGTTCAATATATTTTATGAAAATACAGGTTAATTCTCTTGGGACTGTTGCCAATTTTTTACAATTAAGCAGTCATTTAAGCACTTCAAATTTGGAAAGGTGAAAAATCCGAACTGGAACCAATCGATAAATTTTGCAAGTGTTTAATGTGACACACTTGCTTAAATGTATTTTATGGTCGCATTTAGGGAGTATTTCCATTTAATTATTTTGGACATTTATATTTTTAAAGAATCTGCAACCTCCCCCTTTAAGAATCAAATGTTCTTGAAGTCTCAATTAATAATACACTTGTACTTTAGGTACATCTTATGGCTACGAATTTCTGATTTTTCCTCTTTTTTCAAATGTCAAGCTGGCATGTTAAGCTGAAATAGAAAAAATACTTTCGATTCATTTCTCCAGAATCACCGGTTTTCTTTATATTCTAAACTTCCTCTTACCTAAGTTGACATTTTCTGATAAGTTGCCATGATGAAAGGAAAATTAGTTTTTTATGACTATAACAATGTACTCATATCACATTATTCTAATTACCCTCTACAATCAATATCACTTTCAGGTACATTTCCCCACTGGAACGTCCCTCTCTATTTACATCACAGACTGGAATGGGTATTTCATCATTGACTTGGAAATCATTCCGTCTCCGTTGGATATCGGGAAGGCCGAAGGCTTGTGTGGTTACTTTGATGGTTCAATGGAGAACGACTTTAAACGGAGAGATAGTAACATCACAGATAGCATAGACCTGATGTATCCGACCGATTTCTATGATTCTTGGAGGTAAATATTAAAATATCGTGAAACACATTCCTGTGGACTTTTCATTAATATTTTAGACGGAGTCACTTGACCCCGTCTATTAGTTTACTGTCAGCCGAGGCCTCAAAACGGAAGCCATGACGAGAACACATGAATTGATTCTACGCTAAATGAAAGAGTGCTAAAAATGTTAGATCAAAATACAAACTCGCTGGATCAAACTAAAGAGAGTGATATGAAGATTTTCTTACACAAATAAAAGAAGCATTTTGAAAATATTAAACCTGAAAACGTTATGTTGAACCACACTAGTATACAAACTATTCGGCTGCGTAATATTAAAATGCGTACGCGTACTTCTGGAAATGTTAAAATAATTAGACCCTGTGAAATTCGGACAATATAAGAAAAGTTTCTTGACTAGTTACTACTGATTAGACTATTACAGAGTAATTGAAAAATGTGAAGATGTAAATCATATACGGTCCCAATTTTGATGCACCAGATGCGCATTTCGACAAATTATGTCTCTTCAGTGATGCTCAAGCCGAAACGTTGGAAATCCAAAATGTTTAAATCAAAAAGACTTGAAAGAGCTAAAAAGGTGCCAAAGGCTGGAGCCAATTACGTCGAAGGATCAGAGCTATGCATGAGGGAGATAATCCTTAATTTTGAAATACATTTCTAAATTTTAACACAGCAATTAAATGTATATCCGTATTTTCAAGCTAGTACAGAAGTACTAGGTTACTGGGCTGTAGAGACCCTCGGGGACTAACAGTCCACCAGTTTACCCTGTCTTTTTTTTAAACATTAAATGTCCAAAAAATTTTAGTTGGTATCAAACCTCTATATTAAAAAAATCAACATGCAATAATGAAATTTGTAAAATCATGAAATTTATTAGTTTGACCCCATCTTTCAGTACTGTATCAGTACTTTGATTTTATGAAGAGTTTGCCTATGTGTATATTCCCAAATTTATTAAAGATACTTTTCAAGCCCCCGTGATCGAAGAGTAGAGGGCATATAGTTTTTGGCCAATCATCTGTTTGCCCGCAAATAAATTTAGCCAAAACTTTTCAATGATTGGTGCTAATTATAGGGGATAAATATTTCAGAAATGAATTCGTTGCCAAAAGATCTTCTAAAGGGGTGGGGTACTGAGTTTTGACCTCCTGACCTAGGAGTTTGGCCTACTTTAATCAAACTTTAACCTTGGTGATTTTTTAAAAAGTTTTCATTTATTTCAATTGTATATAAATTGTGTCAGAACCTTTCTTTGTGTAGCAACGTATTTGACATTGGGAGTTTGACCTACTTTTGAAAATCTTTACCCTTGGATAAACTTTAGAGCAGTTGGTGCTCGGAATTTCATATTCGAAACGTGTTTTCCTTGTTAGAAAATGTTTCTTTGAGTATCAAAAATTTTAAACTCATGACCTAGAGATTTACCTACTTTTGAAGGGTTTTGATCGTAGGAATGAGCTGCCAAACGGGGGCTAAACTGTTTCACAAACACATCTTGTGGTAAATGATCTTTATACATTTATGGATTTATAGAATACGAGATATTGAGAATCTGTTGAGGGGTGACAGTTCGGTTTATAGCAAACTGGAATCCATATCCAGCATTCAAGTCCCTCAGTGCACTTGTACCGAGAGTGGTAAAACAGAATGTTCCTACAGCACATCCTCACCCTGTAACTCAAACCGAGGCAAACAATATACCTGTAACGTTCATCTTCTGCAAACCAGAAGGCGAAAACGTGACCTACCTGGAAAGACAGTTCAAGAGCCTTTATTGGTATTTCGTTCATTGATATTTATATGTTACTTAAAATGTGAAACTGAAGTAAGAGAACATACTTCAACTGCGATGGTGACCAAAATCTGTCTTGTTACTGCAATTGAATGTTTGGATCATTTATATGACTTGAAAGTATTATTGTCACACAAATGTAACTTTCTTTCAGAGAAACAAACGATCCGTTACTTACGTACAAACAGAAGATTATGCCGAGACAGTCTGCTTGCAGGCTTTTAAAAACTCGACAGAATATAGTACATGTCAGCAGTATGTTACTGATCTCAGTAATGTTACTCTGTCTAACTGTATCGAAGACATCAAGGTAAGATTTACGCTATTTGATACATAACAAACTTAACTTAATCAGGCCACCTTTAAACTTTGTTGTTCATCTCTATAAATGTAAGAGTGAAAAATTCGCGAACGGGACGTAAAACAGCATACACGCAATCAATCAATCTTCAAGTTGAATATTTAATGAAATTAGGTGAATTTTAGATTTTCATGTGAGGTTACAGGGATTTATTGTTTATATTATTAATAACACTCCAATGTCTAGTAAAACGACAGAAATACTTTGTAATATTTTGACAGTATGTCTGTCCGTAATTCCGTCTATCTGTAAAACACCGGAATTCAAAATATCTTTAAATCTCCTCACAGTTTTGCAATAAAGGTTTCTATAACAAAAACATCCAATTGGTTTTGGAGAAAAAGAGTCAAAGGTCATGGACGCAAAGGTGTAATTTATTGCTAATATCTCAAATAAATTGCATTTAACAGCAGGGAATATCAATTTCTTGAACTACCTTTCCATTATTTAGACTCTACTTCAAATTTCGTGTTTGTAAATTTAAGAAGAATAATTTTTATTCATTATATTTCAGTTGACAGGCAATGATAGCTTAACACAGATCCATATTGAAGCTGCTTTACAACAATGCACCGAGTTTGTTTTGTTAAATGCAACACTACAGGAAACAGAACCCAATGTCACGTACACAATACAAAACCTCTGTCCTAGCAATTGTAGCAGTCATGGAACTTGTAATGGAGGTAAGTATTGTCCGTGAGTATCTTGAATAATTTATTTATTGTACTTTAGCTAAAAATGATGTCTAATGTAAAAAAAAAAAGGGTAAAATCTTTTAAATGGGAGTTTCTGAAGTTTGGAAGTTTATTAAAAGAAAAACTTTAACCGTTTTATTTGTAAATAAAATAAAAATAGATATATTAAAAGGAAGAGAAAATACGGAAAAAAAACCATTATCATGACTTGAATTAAAGAAAATAAAAATTCTTAAATATATCTGGTTGATATTTCTGAAGGAAACTGTACTTGTGACACCGGTTATGGGGGAAGTGATTGCTCGTTTGATTTACTCGGTCCGCCTACAGTAACAGGTGTACCCAGTGCTGGTCTGTGTGATCTTTCCAGTAAAGATTGCAGCGAGGCTACTATGTTTGGAAAGTACTTTGTTGAAAATATGGACTCCCTTTGTTATATCAGTGTAAAACAGGTAGGCATTTTTTATTCAGATACTTTTTTAATAGAGTTGTGTAGTTTTTTAAAGAAGATTAACTGAAAGGATTTTGAATATAGTGTTGATCAAAATTTCTATTTCAGGTAAACGTAAACCAAACAACAGTCACAGAAGAACACAGACAAGTAAAGCTACAGGAGAGGACTCTGTTTGAGGGATATTGCCCTCATTCTGTTAACAGCTCTGGCTTGTGGATAACTGAAATAACGTTCAACATCTCTAATGATGGTCTGCGCTTTACTGATACATACCAAATGTATATCTACCAATCTCAATGTCAGGAGTATCATAATGAATCAGGAAATGTATATTTTAGTTTGAAGGTAAGGTATTCTTTGTTCGGATTAATTATGTTGAATATTTTTATCAGTATAATTGTTATGTCAAAGCTTATTGTTCTTATTTCCCAGTACTTCTGTCTGTCGTATTTTTTTATCTTAGGTATTGTGGGTTAAAATTTTATTACTTGTAATAATAATTAGTGTTAGTATACATGGCAAAACTTTGGATCATATTTCATTTCATCTCTTTTGACTTTCCCCCCTCTTCACTGAAGAGATATTTTCCTTGTGATCGGACGAGGGCTTAATATGATTAAAATATTTTTTTGCACAAACTGCAAGTTGATGCCTGTGGTCCTGTGAATATTATATGCTATACTGCATGCGCGGATGTAGAAAAGGGAGGGGTCGGACTACTTAAGGGATTTTCAGAACTTTAAATTTTTATGTAAAGTCACAGACCCAATTTAAACTGGTAATTGTAGTTATGTATCTGAAGAAAATAGACTTAAAACATGACCTGTCATAACATCCTCTCCTCAAAATAGGTTTTTCAGGTTTGATAGACAAGTTGTAATTTTTTTCTTAACCCCCCCCCCCTTTCGGAAAAAAATCCTTGATCCGCGCATGCACTGGAGATTAGAAAAAACTTCATCTGAATGTCTGAGATGCAATAATAAGGTTAGATTTTTTGTCCATTTTTATAGGAGAATTTTTGCTACATCGAAGGAACATGTGTGCGCTCCATGCAACAAAGTACAGTAAACGAATGTTTGATGTGTAACACAACCGTTAATCAATACGAATGGACTGTGTATGATTGTAAGCCTACATTTAAGAAACACATCCATGTATTCTAATTAAACCATTATTTTTATTCATTTTCTTTTAAATAGTTTAAATAGATGTGCAACTTAGGATGAAATGAACATTGACCACGTTATACTGGTTTGATATCAGTCTAGTTTCTTTCAGATTGTAAACAAGGAACAGTTACCGCCGACAAAAATTCCTCTCCATCTTCAGACCAGCTTATGACAATCATAGCTGTCGCGTGCTCTGTCTGTGGATTGGCAGTATCTGTAATCACTGTTATAGTGATTTTGAAAACGTGCAAGAAATTGTAAGTAAATTACAATTATTATCTATTTTTAATCCTTATGCATGCATTGAACTTTGAAAGTTTGTTTCATTTTTTTTAATTCGCTTTGATTCGCCGTACTAAAGTAAAGAAATGTTCATTTTTTGAGCAGAGTTAAACAGAAGCTAGGCCAATATATTTTTGATTGAATTGATTGAGTTATATTTGAAAAATATTGAATTAAATGAAAATACATTAAAGAGCACATTTTAGGCCCCAGGATAAGTATTAAATGTTTCCCATTCTCTAATAGATTCACTGCACAACTTTCATCTCACTTAAATTTAAAGAAAAAGGTGTATAATAATTCTCAGACCTCAAAGTGTCTCATTCTTTTTATTTCATCATGTTTTATTTCACAGAGAAAAAAAATAAATATTCTTTTGCATAATAGAATTAACATAAAACACAAAATATGGATACTGGAACTAGTATTCTAATTCCCTTTCCTTGGGTCAGGATAGAATTTCTATTATAAGAAAAATATTTAAAATGAGGTTGAGTTTATTTTATTGATATTGGAGTAAGAAAATAACATCTGCTTTGTATTAGTAGGAATCCGGAACGATCGGTAAATCCCTCCTCTTTCGAGTTTTTGAGATGACCCCTCTATGTTTTTTTTTGTACAGGACGAAAACGAACCAAATCTTCGACACGAGAAATTTGGACAACTGATGGCTAGGAAGACATTGAGTGTTGCAAAATTATATCAATCCTTAACCACTTCAACTTTGCATCAAGTGTTTTGAATCTCTTTTTTGCTTTTAGAAACGAAACAAAAATATTGTGTTTTACAATATGGACTAAATTCTTTTGACCTCTATCAGTCCATGACTTGTTGATTACATTTAAAAGTTGATAAATCAGTTGTTGGGGTACATTTTTTGTAAATACGGTGTTTTTTAACTTCATATTTGCTATAGTGTATAATCAGATGACGACGACTTCAGAAGCAAAAAATGGATTATAATCCAAACAGAAGAAATTTAAAAAATAATTCCTGTTATAAATAACATCTTCTTGCTATTCTTAGGTTTCTTTTCCACTTTAAGTTTTTTTTTCTTACTGGTTTTTGTGTACAGGATTTCTCAGAAATCTTTCACTCGATTGTTATAGAACTTTAAAGATTGATGAACTATCAAATTATCTGCTTATTTTTGTTTTATTCTGATGACTTTACATCAGCCCAGGAGTAACAGCCGATTTCGGATTTCAAGAAGGAATTCGATCCTGAGCTCGAGAGCAGAGTTTCGTCTGAACGTCTATTTCTTTTCTAAAATTCTGCATATTTTAGTTCTTACAATAAATTTGGATTCTACAATGCGAAATAAACTATATTCAATTAAAACCCCACGAATTGAATTCCATACAAGAAGCATTAAGTAAAGAACTATTTTTGTGGCGGAAGCTTATTTTGGACGAAAATGATCAATTGTTCTCTTTCGAAGTATTGAAAGTACTGTTAAGTTTCGAGTCATATTTTTCCGTGCAGGCTGCACACACAGTTATTTTGTGAAATGAGATTGTTTTGTTGGTCTCAACTTAAATATTATATTAAATTAATTATGCATTTTTTCGTCATATTGTGTCAAATTTAGCAAATATGTTGTGAAACGCAGAAAAATAGCTTAAATTTTGCTTTAAATTAACACATTATACATTATGTAGTAAAATATAAGAATTACAATAGAACATTTTTGATTTTCGTTTCTGAATATATATGATAACTTTGGCCATTGTGCTGAAATTCAGTAATAGTTTAAGACTTTTTAAAAATGTATTGCTTGTTAGATTTTAATGACAGAAAAATGACATTTCTGAGTGCAGAAAGATCAAATAATTGATTATGCAAAGTAATTTGAAATATTTTCTAAGTCAAAAAATTTTAATATGTCTATTAAAGCTAGAATAAGACTGTATTTGGTCGCATGACTTATTTGGATAAAATATTGGAAAAAAAATTTTATAAGGTGATTCATGTATAAGATGCAATTGCAGTTCAAGGTCATATGAAATGCACCGTACATTCCTACTTTTTTGTTTTTAATTAAGCTATGTGTAGAACTAAAATATACTTGACAAAAAGTTCATAAGACTTTTTATAGCAGGATGAAACATCTTGAAAATGACATTTTGTCCGAGCATTTTCTCAAAAAGGGTTTAAGGTATAGTCCTGAAAATTTTAAGGATGATTTTATCTTAACTTGTAGATATGCATTTAAGATTTTTTCCGGACTCGCTTTCTTTGTCCACAGTAGTCAAGAAAAAAAGTACTTTTTTCAATATTTCTGATATTAGTATAATATAATAGATTCTGATTAGAATGCTTAATATATTATTCATTTGAACATTATTTCATATTATAGATACGCAGTACAGTTAAGGCAATATTTTCTATAAAAAGGCACCAAAAACGAGACACTTAAAGTTCAACCGTCTTATTTTTTACCATGAAACTCTATCTGAAATATCTTAATGGCTTTATGAAGAGTTTGTCCATCGCTTTTCACCTCGGTATTTTTTGTCATCATGTGACCCTCTACAGTCACGTGAGCTCCGATTTTAGGTCAAAATATGAAATGTCAAATTTAACCAAAAAGTGCAAGGGCAAGGCAAACTATATTTGAACTGTACAATGTTTCATTGTGTCCCTTAGTATCTATCCTGTCGAAAAACTGATGCTCATTCAGTCAGATTTCTGAGATATATAAGTTATTCATTGAAAACAAACACCAGTATTCAAAAAAGGGGTATTTTTCATCATTTAATCGGAAATTTTGAATTGCCTAATGAATTACAAAGAAATGAGCATCACTTTTTAAAAACTATACAGTAAAGTAAAGAATTTAAAATAAAAACCTACCTCTTGGGTTGTCGCCTTGCCCTTGCACTTTTTGATTAAAAATTGGAATCTTAACACATTCATTCTAAATATAGTTTTCAAACGCATCATTGACCCAGCATGGGAGATAACTCTGTGATATATATACTTAATAGAGTTTGTGTACCTCGGAAATTTTGAACAAATAATACGTACGGACTGTGTTGGGCTTTATTTCATTAAATCAAATTGGTATGCATAAAAAAATCCTTGACTTTACTTTATTTTGTATATCTTCGTTCTTTTATACGATACACAAGACGTATTTGACACCTACCGCATTTCCTCCGTTCGTCAACAATAGGCCTAAAATTTGCCGCAGCATCATGTAAATCAATTGGAAAATGCCCATGGTTAAAAATATTGAAAGATTCAATCATTTGTAATAAAAAAATAGACAGCTGCTATCAATGATAAAATATTTATTCTCCCCCAGTAGACACACACACACAAAATCTCCAACAGAACTTAGGTTTTTTTGCTTGTTTTGTTTGTTTGTTTTACATATGTGATTATTTTAGTTATCAAACCTTCAACTGTTTAGGGATTCTAGACTACGTGAAAAGTTTTAAGAACAGGAGGAAGGGACTGGGGTGGTTACTCCTGTATTTAATAACCTGTTTTCCTTTCTACACATAGTCGTCGGAAGCAAATTAAAAGGGGGGGGGGGGCTAAACCAACGAAAAAAGGTAAGCCCCAATTTTCAATGCCTATATTATGTATAACTTTGCAAAAAAGTGGGGGGGGGGCTAAGCCCCCCCC